CTAATAAACCGACTCCCTTACTTTTAGCGTTAGTATCGGGATACCGATAAATCCCGATACCGTTTTGCTGAAACCTATACCGAGGCCTGTATCGGTATCGGGATTAGTGTCGGATACCAATGAATATCGGTATTGGCGGGAACATTAGTAAAGACTGGTGTAAGAGCTGAAAGATAAAATTGGACGCAAAAATAACCAAATTAGTGTAAAATTATGTAAAAAGCAGAGTATTTAACCACCGTATTTAACCACGCTAGTCTGTGAAAATAAGTGGATTTGAAGAATTATGGGATTTGGAGGGATAGAGAATATTAGGAAATTGAAGGGATTGAGAGAGCTCCCCAATCCTGCGACCAATCAACTTGAAAAATATAGATCGGTAATATTCAATTTCGTTCCCCCCTCCTTTTTTCTATCCTCAAACTATTAAAAAATGGTCAGTCTGACTTAAGTTATAGAACTCGTCGAGCTGAGTCGAATGACACCAAAATCAAAAAAAATCCGACTCGATTTGACCAAAATACAGACCCCTGAAAATTGAACAACCACAGGGGCGAAAAACCATAAAGACGAAAATTTATACAAATGATAGCTCATTCGAAAGAGCTCGTCGAGCTGAGTCGAATGACACCAAAATCAGCGCGATTGCACAAGATTTGACAAAGTTATGACCAGGGCTGATCGAAATTTCGTTTCGTTTCGTTTCGCTCTTTCGTGCCCTTTTTTCCATTTCGTTTCGTTTCGGAACGAAACATAAAAAAATTTATTTCGTTTCGTTTCGAAACGAAATAGCCAAAATTCCGGACGAAACGAAACAAAAATAAGTGAGAAAATGCACCCCTAATGACGGGAATTTATGGAAATAATCATTAATTTTTTAGTGATTTCTGTCTTTTGAGCAGCCTAAAATTAAAAAATTTTCGCCTGCGGCGCTGAAAATGGAAGAAATTTGGCTTCTTGAGCTCCAAAATTCTAAAAATTTTCGCCTGCGGCGCTAAAAAATGAAGAATCTGGTGAATTGGTCTTTCAAAATTCTTGAAATTTTCGCCTGCTGCGCTGAAAAAGTGAATTTATTGGCCTCTTAATCCTCCAGTTTATCCTCCACTCTCCTTAAATCCTCCGATATCACTCAAAATCCTCTTATAACACAGATATTACTAAAAAATATCGCCAGATATCCTTTTAACCTTAATCCCTTCAAATCCTCTGATTTCCCTGATATCTATTACATAAAAATTTTTTATGTGAAAATCCCGAAATCCTAAGATTTTGGAAGGCTAAGATTTTAGAAGGCAATGGGCAATATTTCTTAAAATTTTAAAAATTATGGAAAAATCTTCAGTCGGAAATATGTTTTGAAAATTATCAGAAATCGGAAATTTTTCCAAAATTTCGGAACTCGGAAATCGGAAGGAAAACAATGTCGGAAATCAGAATTCCGACCCACCTCTGCTGCCGACTAAAATTATTATTACTTTGTTCAGTGAATTAAAAGAGATCTCGTGGGATTAGTGATATTGAGGGAGATTTAGCAAGATTAAGGTAATATTGTGGTATTGGCGATATTAAGGGGATATCGAGGGATTTTGTTTATAACTATTTGGATTTTATGGATTAAGTGAATATCGGTGGTTTTGGGAGGGGATATAGAAGATTATCGCAAGGGATATAGAAGATATCTCTTTTATCCCTCTTAATATCCCTCTTGATCGATATCTAAAGTGGTATATCCAAAGTAATTTGGATATATCGTGGAATTTTAAAAGGATATCGGAGGAATAAGATGGATCTATGTCGATTTAATGGGATTAAGGTGGATATCGGTAGATTTGTAGGGTCAATACTCGTTTTTGTTATGCTTTTGTCACGCATCTAGCTCTTGTGGTGCATATCTATGATTTAAATATCGATTAAAAGCCCTTTATGAACTGAAAAATAAATATTTTTTAATTTTTATTTTATTTCGTTTATTTCGTTTCGTTTCGTCCGAAACAAGCTCATTTCGTTTCGTTTCGCTCCGAAACGAAATAGGAATTTTTTTATTTCGTTTCGATTCGAAATAAAAAATATTTTTATTTCGATCAGCCCTGGTTATGACATAAGTCGTCGACTCCGTTAGGTCTACACTTACTGTCATATCTTTGTCAAACCATGTCCAATCACGTCGTTTTTGGTGTCATTCGATTCAGCTCGACGAGCTCTTTCGAAGAGCTATCATATGCATAAAAAATTTTTATTTTAAAAAATCACCCCTGTGGTTGTTCAATTTTCAGGGGTCTGTATTTTGGTCAAATCGAGTCGGATTTTTTTTTATTTTGGTGTCATTCGACTCAGCTCGACGAGTTCTATAACTTAAGTCAGACTGACCATTTTTTAATACTTTGAGGATAGAAAAAAGGAGGGGGGAACGAAATTGAATATTACCTATAGATCCGCTTGTATATGATATAGGAATATTTAAATATAAAGGCCAAGATTTTTTCAGACAAATCTTGGTTGTTAATTATGAAATTTAAGCAATAAATCTATCCAATAATTATATTTAAATAAATAAATTTCCTCACTTTTCAAACATTTCAGAGAGAGCTTTCGTAAATTCATTACCAAAATTAGGATTTCTATGTTCCTCATCTTTATCATCTATCCAAAGGAGACTAACATATATTCCAATACCCAACTGCTCGACGAGAGAAGAATTGTAGAATTGGTCCCCAGAATTTGGAATACAAATTAAAGGAACACCTGCATATATTGCCTTTAAATTTATTTAAATTTACTTTATGAATCCTTATATTGTGTCTACCTCAGTCAAACTGTTCTGTCCACAATGGGATATGAAAAATTTTGTATTTGGATCAACTGAAAAGTTGAAAAATTGTTTTTTTAGATTTGCTTTTTCCAATCGTTTTTATGGGTTAATAGATTCATATTTTTTAATATTTATTTAATACCATTATGTGGACTCGATTTTGCTCTTATTTTAAAAAAATTTATGACACAAAAAAATAAAATTGTGCTTCTGGAGTTTTATTGTCTTTTCATGTTCTTAACATTTATCACGATAAACTTTTTAATGGGTGATCAGACTAAATCCATCCAGTGGGAAAAGATACCGCTTTTCGAAGGATTTGAAGGATATAAAATTCACTTGAATTGGATTCTACCACGATCAGTTCATGATCAAAATCGTTTAAGATAAAAAATGAATGGGATATCAAATGGAAGATATTTAAAAGATTATTCCCCATCATTAATATAATTTACATAATATTTGTTGTTGTTCAATAAACTCATCTGTAATATCAACATTTGAAGAATTTGGTAGATTATAACCAGGAGGCAATTTTATTTTAAATTGATAATCACTACATTGAGTAAATAGATTTAACATGAAATTAACATCATAAAGGGTCATTCCAGCATACAGGTTTAACGTTCCAAAAGCGACAAGGACCAGAGAAGCATCCTTAAAGATGGATTTTATTTTAAGATAAAAACAAATTTCTTGGGGTTTTAACAAACATATTTCCTAATTTCTTCGGAACCCCCGGAATGAGGCGAAAATTTCTGATATACATAGATTTCCATGAGCCTTCATAGCACTTTTCAGCTTTAAGCGCAGCACGTAAAAATTTAGAATTTTAGAACGCTAAGTAAGATATTACGCTAAGTAAGCTGTATTTTTAGAAAGCTTATAGAAAGCCTTCGTTTTCTGAAAACCGAATAGGAGGACAATCTGTCTGAATCTGTGGCGGGCACAAGAGACAATATCAAGAGATCAAAGAAAAGAATAAATAGATTTAACTTTTTAATTTTTGTTAGAATTAATTTACATTCTTACTTCATATTTATTTGTTGTCAAGTCCAATTTGGCTTCATTATCCTCAACAAGAATACCTCCAATATAAACAATTCTATTACCTTTTGGAAAATTTTCGAAATTTGCATATTCATGTTGATTAACAAAATGGTAGCTAATTTTATTGAATAAATTGAAATAATATTCTTTCCGGTTTGACCTGGGAATTTCTAAAGCATTAATCAAAGTTTTGCTAACAGCCTTTTGATAAAACTTTTTTTTTGAATTTATTTCATTTTTATGTTCTTTCAAATTTCTCTCGAATCTTTCTGGTTTGAAATGACATCCATCTTGTGTAAATATCCAATCTCCAGGTTTCGCAAAGTTCATTGCTATAAATTTAAAATATTTAATAAAATTATAAATCTACAAGTTCTTTTAAAGCTTATTTTTAAACAAATTTCAATCAGGTTGAACTTTGCTAAGGACCTAAATAAAATTTAAAACAACCCCATAGACTAGGTTGACACGTTTTTTCAGTTTTTATTTTGGCTCTTGTCCAGTTTATGCGTCCCATGAAGAGTTATGAGCCCCACAAATAATTTACGCGTCCCATAAAATTTATGCGTCCCAAAAACAATTTACGCGTCCCAAGAAATTTATTGAAAAAATATTCAAAAATAAAAAAATGACATTTAACATTTATACTTACATACCGTATTTTCTAAAATAGTACTCCCGGGAGTACTATTTTTCAACTCTCCTCCAAAGGGGAGTAGTACAATTTAAGTAGGGAGTACTATTTCAAGGGGGAGTACTATTGGATATCAGTGATTTGGACTATTGGTACTATTGGATATTAGTATTTGGATATCTGGGTATTTTTGGATTAGAGGAACGATATCCCAAAATCCACTTTTGCCCCACCATTAATCGGATTATATCCTTTAATCCTCGAAATATTTTATTGAAAAATCCAAAAATCAAGTGAAACCGACAACGCTACTTAAAATAAATAAAATAATTCAATGAGTCTTTTTTTCAAATATAAAGGAAAAATATTTTAGGGGGGAGTACTATTTTGGGATAGTACCAATTCAGTGGGAGTACTGTTTTTTAACCCTCCTCCAAAGGGGATTATTATTTAAGAGGGGAGTACTAAGTCAGGGGGGGATATTATTTTGGGAAATACCGTATTTGATTAACAAAGAACACATACCTTTCCCCACAATTTAACCAAAAGTCTACCTGGAATAACAGTTTTCTTTTCACGAATTTGCTTTACAATATCAATTCCAAAAAATTGAAAATTTGCAGGAAGAATAATATGTGCAAAAACATTAAAAGTTTTTTCAATCCCCAAAGCTTCAAACACAGCAAAGGATCCAGCCATTTCAGTAAAATCAGCAATTCCAAAAGAATATTTTTGTTGTTGAGCAATCCAATCGAGAATGCCTATATATTCCTCTCCAATCTTGACTTGAGGGTTTTTTATAAAATCTTAAAATTAATATTATTCTTATCAGATTTAATGTGAGAAAATCCCATTTTTTAGAAGAATTTAGCAATTAATTCATATTTAAGACAACCCAATAAGTTGATGATTTAGGAGATCTGAATCTATATGATCTTTCAGGAACCGATTTCCATAAACTCATAAACTTTATTGCTGGGAAATTTAGAGCCTTATACCTTCAAAAATTCCAACGACATATTCCATTGAACCTTTAAAATCATTATAAGCTTGTAGGAGTCTATCATTTGCAATCAATTCCTGATCCAAATGTTTTACGTTTATATACATTTCAATAATTTTCAAATCGTTCGGCATTGGGTTGATCTCTAAAGGAGTGCCAATTTCTTTACTATAAACAATCATATCCTATAGAAAATAATATTATTCATTCTTAACTTATAGAACCCTAAATAATATCGGGAAGGGGGGGGGGGTGTATGGATACAAATTCCAAAAATATTTCAGGCATCATTTTCAAATCGTTAGGTTGGCAAAGTTGAATCCTGGTAATCCCTGCCAAAATCCCTTTAGATAAACAACTCACCACGATATAATGTTCTGATAATGCCTTAGCGAGCAATAGCTAAAATTTTTAATGTTTATTACGGTCGCAATTTAGCGAAAATGGTTGATTTCTGATTATCCCAAATTTAATTCAGGCCTATATGTATTAGTATCTAACTGTTAATTTTATTAGTTAATTTTCGGTACCAGAGGTGAGCGCAGAAACAATATGTATGAATTTATGTTTAAATTATAGTATGACAGCTAACCAGAAAATAGAAAAAATGGAATGTCTTGATCCTGTGAGCTTTCAGATGCAGGATTGTTATCCGTCGATCAACAACAAAAAGAACCTTATAAAAATCCTTAAAATGTCCTTCCTAATGCTTTGCTTATCTGCTATGCTCGGTAAATCTTCACCGACCATACATAAATTTAAAAAATTTACATGTAATTGAACGTGAGAGAAGAAAAAGTTATCACAAATATACAAAGCCCTTTTCTTTTGATTTCTTGAAGAACTTTCGGGAATATCTTCTTCTTCCCCTTCAAAATGTCCTTGCTGATGTTGACCCACTAATCTTTGATATTCTTCTAAATTCTCTTCACCACCAAGGCAATCACATAAATTATTTCCTCTTTTATGCCGACGTTTAAATAATTTTTCTTTTTTATTATTTAAACATTTGCACTTCTTTCCAACAGAAATGTTGATAATAATTAACAAAAAGAAAAAGTAAAAAATTAATTTTAAATAATACATTTTCTGAAATTAGAGAATATAGGTATGTTAAATAAATAGAAATGTTAATGTTAATTAATTATGTTAAATAATTATTCTAGAAAATTAAATAAACGTCGGGAATAAAAGACAGAGGATAAATGTTATTTAAACGATTTTCAATTCAATTCAATTCAATTCAATTTATACGTAAAAACGTGACATTCAGATAAAAATAAAATGAAATGTAAATATAATTTAAATCAAAAGTTTTGTATAAGGTCTGGAGACAATAGAGTGGAATTTGACTTTGATAAAATATTGTTTAGGTTAATATTGTTTAGGAGCTTTGGAAACAATTCGATTGACGATTTTTGTAATTCTATTGGAAGTTTTTTGTAAATGTTTGGTATGTCTATAAAAAATGAATTTTTCCGAATGGTGCTTGAACAAAAGGGTATAAATAAATTATGCGGATTACCTCTGGTAGTGGTGGGTAGGATGCTATATGTATTATCGTGTTTTAGATTAATTTTACCTAAAATAATATTATGGAAAAGGATGAGATTTGATTTTAAACGTCTATGCGATAGAGATTCAAGTTTGAATATGTCAAGGAGTTCTTTATAATTAGGTAATATTGGGCTGTTATTGTGTTTCATAGAGCGTAAGTATATTATTTTTAAGAATTTATGTTGCACATTTTCTAAAGCGTTTATGTCTTTATTTAAATAAGGGTTAATTATAGGAGATCCAAATTCGAGGATAGGTAAGACATATATTTTGAATAGAGTAATTAGGAATTGAGTATTGTTAGTTTTAAGAGATCTTATAAGAGTATAATAAATTCTAGTTGCTTTATTTGTTGTGATTTTAATGTGAGAATCCCATTTTAAGTTGGATGTAAAATAAATGCCAAGATCGCGAATAGGTTCGTTGGGTGGAATGGTTGGTATATTAATGTTTTGTAGAGAATATTGGTGGAAGGGATTTTTAGTCCCTATGTGAAATGAACTGCATTTGCTGACAGCGATTTTAAGGCCATTTATTTCGCAGTATTTTGAGAATGTTTGGATAAATGTTTGGAGTGGAGAGTAGTGATTTTTGTTTAGGAAGTCAAAGCAGGTATAGGCCTTTAAATCGTCAGCAAATAGTTTTGGAGTAACTTTGTCTGTTTTACAAAAATCAATTATATCCGAAATATATGAGATGAATAAGATTGGGCCTAGGATGGACCCTTGAGGGACTCCGCTTGTTATAGGATATTCATTAGAATTTTTTGATTCGACAAGAACTGTAAATGTTCGATTTAACAGATAGTCCTTAATCCAATTTAGTAAGGTGCCAGTGATACCTAGATGATAGAGTTTTTTCAGAAGGCGATCGTGGGGAACAGTATCAAACGCTTTTGCAAGGTCGAAGAATATAACGTCAACACATTTCTTATTTTCAATAGCTAATGTGTAGTCGTTATAGGTTTCTAGGAGTTGAGTTATAACTGAATGGTTTTTACGGAAACCATGTTGGCAAGTGGGAAGGTAATTGTTAGTTTCAAGAAATGAGGTTAATTTATTAGAGATAATTCGTTCTAGAATTTTAGAAGTTGGGCATAGAAGAGAAATAGGTCGAAAATCTTTAGGTTCATTAGGGTTACTATTTTTAGGAATAGGGCGGATTATTGACTTTTTCCAAATGGTTGGAATTTTACTTGTCATAATTGACATATTGAATATAATTGTTAGTGGAGTGGTTAATGAGATTGCTGTATTTTTTAAGAAAATGTTGGGGATTCCGTCTGGGGATATGTTATTAACATTGTCAAGTTTGTTTATGATGCTGTAGATTTCCTCTGGATTGATATCAATAAAAGATAAATTATTTTTGTTAGAAGTTTTTATGTCAGAGGAGTCAAAGTTAGAAGAGTTAAAAACAGATTGAAATTGTTTTGCCAGACATACGGCTTTATTTTGATCTTATATCCTGCATATTCAAATCCGTTTTCATGATATTCTTTAATATGGATATCCTGTCAAATTTCGAATTAGTTAAAGCTTATTTATCAAAGAAAATACTGTATTTTCCCCAATATAGCCAAAAGTTCTCCAGACTAGGGCTGTATTAGAAGGTGTCTATTTTTCAACTATCCTAAAAAGCTGGACTGTAAATAAAGAAGTCTTTAATAGAAGATAGGTATACATAGAGGATACCGATAAATTTATACAAATAAATGGGCTGAAGATGCTTATTTTCCTCCTAGCTGCTGAGTAACCTTTTGACTGCCCGAATGAGAGAAATAGCTAAATATAGCCTAGTAGCTGCTTTACTAAGTGAATGTGATAAGGTCTTGCCAAGCAAGACTACCTCCCCATCGACATGCCTTTATATTTAACATGTGGAATATTTTTAAATAATTTTTTTACAATAATTAAAGGAGGTTAGAGAAAAAGATTTTTTAAAATTATCGACTAAATTAAAGTAGTAGTAAAATAAAAAATTAAATAAATTTTTAAATAAAATTTATTTATTTAAATAAATATTAAAATTTTTAACATTTACATTAATGATGTTCCTTTCAAAAATAAATTTTATCAAAAAAAAGCTATTCTTAGGGGTGTAAAAATTTCCCGACTGAGTCGGAATTGATACCGTGAGTCGGAATCGGGAGGCCAAAAATTCGGGAAATTTTGCCGAGTCGGGATATCCGAACACCACTAATTTACAGAACAGACAGTTAAGGAAATCACCAAGAACTGGGTAATTTGCGTTTTACGTTTTGGCCTGTTCCTTTACTTATATTTTGCTTAAACTTGACTAAAATTAAGTGCAACTAAGCAATTAACAATCAGAACACCATTAAAAATCTGAAGCATTTTGTTTTTGCGGGACAAGAGAATTGTTAGCGAGGGACCTAAATTTTCAATACAAAACAAAAATAATTTCCATTATTACCTTTTCTTGGATTGTTGGAGATATCCAATCCTTATATATTCAACCTTAAAAATAATTTAAAAAAATTTTTTGGATGGCATAAGAGAGATACCAGAAATGTTGTTAGCGTAATCCAGGCTTTAAATGCTTCCCGTTTTCCTCTGACAGGCTCTGACTGTTTTGAAAAAAATATTTTTTTTAATTTACAATTTCCTCACTTTAGCAAAAGCATCACTTAGGCACTCTCCGAAATCGTCCCAAATTCTTACTTTGTTTAAAGAACCCCCAAAAATTATAAAATGTTTTTCACCAATTTGTTGGCATTTTTGCTAGAAAATTATCATTTTTTAACTAATTTTTTAAAAATATTTTACTTGACAACAACGTACAGGCCCATTTAAATTTTGCATTAAATAGTCAATTAATTCAATTAAAACACGTAAATGTTCCTAAGATAACATTATAAATTTTGTGAAATATTTAAAAATAAATACTTTCTGATCGCAACATTTTCCAGACAAAAACCCCTCTACAATAGACATTTTTTGAAACTAAAATTGTTATAGGTATTATTTTTTATTTAATAAATTTAGGTACCATTTCTCGGGCAGAGCTGTTATTGAGAGTTAAATCACTGAAAATAAATTTTAATTTTTTAAAGTTGGTTGATTGGAAAATTGAGAGAAATCATTTTAAAAATTTTGTTCGTAAAATCATTTTAAAAATCAGAATATTGTGTAAATCAGTTGTGAAAATCAGTACCCTTTCTTATACGGCTGGCAACAATTACCCTTTACTAGGTCATTAATAGGGTCATTGATAGAATATCCGGACTATGGATTTTAATCTTTAACATTTTTACTACCAATTTATGCTAGGGGTAGTTAAGAATTTTTGCTATGACCATTAACCAACCGCCTTCCTCCTCTATTTATTACCACTTGTGGCAAAGTATTGGAGTATTATAGATAAATTTAGTGAGTAAGTAAATACGTGATTTAAAATCAGAATTTATAAACTAAAATTTTAAAATGAGCAAAAGATAACTAAAATCATTTAAGAAAAATCAGAATTTATAAAATCTTTATTTTTACTAAGATCAGAGATCAGAGAAATAATTATTCTGATTTGTAAATAAATTCTGATTTTATTATTTTATTACCGAAAAACTGTTAATAAAGCGCCTTGTGATTTAATTCGAGGCCAACTCTGCTGCAATATTTGGAGTTGATAACTAAAAGAATTTACAACAAAATGCCCCAATATTTACCAAGATAATTTTAAATGTTCTGCTAGAGAACACTCTGTCCCTGTATTATTAACTTCCTCATTATAACTCAATTTTCTAGGAACATTTCCAGCAACTGCGCGGGAATGTCTTCTTCCATTAGAATTAATTAACCCTTCTGATGCTAAATAATTCTTTTCATATAAAACTGCAGCTAAAGACATTCTTCTACTTCTTGATAGGTTTGGTGAAGTGCAGTGCTTAATGAAGGGTTGGGGTGAAACTAGGCCTTAAATGAGGTGATAGGTTATAGATAAATTTGGAATTAAATTCTCCATTGGGTGTGGGGGAGAGCTTATATCCCAAACGGTATATGGGATATAAATTCGTGAATTTTTAACCCAAGGGTGTATTTAATAGTGAGGTGACTAGCGTTGGTGGATCCGGATACCAGAACCGAAAAGTCTGAACATTCGGAAATTTTCGGTTCGGATATTGGATCCAGATATCCTAAGATTTCCCTGGATCTGCCAACTCTAAAGGTGACACCAAAATTCGTCGTGCCATATTAGGGGTATTCCAATGTAGTAATAATATTCAAGATAATATGAAACTGAGAGACTTATTTGTAATTTTTTCAACCTACCATCTCCCTTATATTTACAATTTTTGTCGCAATTTTAATTTAATTTTTTTTTTGTAATTTTGCATTAAATTTAACTTTCACTTAAGTTTTCACCTGATTGTTTTCTTTTATCAAATTTACTACAAGTTTGTTCACTTAAATCGGGAGAATCAACAAAATGTTGAGGAGATAAAGGTCTATTTGTTTTTAATTTGTATTGTTTGGTTGAGGGAAGCTGATTTAATTTATTAAAAGAAGATAAACGTCTTTGAGAGATTTCAGCTTGATTTTGTTCTTCAGAAACATTTAAATGGTCCTTGCCTTTCCCTCCAACAATTTTAGAGGAATGGTCGTTGCCCATTTGAAATTTTGATAAATTTGAGGAAACTTTGAGGATAATAAAATGTTTTCTAATAAAAAAATAAAGATAATGAATTGTTACTCAGTTAACTAATTAATTTATAAAAGTGATGAAAGTATATGTTTTCATCGGAACTTGTGTAAATATGGAAATGTAGGAACAAAAAAAAATATTCTTCATGATGTATTAATGTGGATAAATGAATTAACTATAGCTAGCTACTATCAATTTAAATAAAAATAAATTAAATTATGGACTTACATGTATGGACTTACTATTTATGGACTTACATGTTAAGGGGAAAGTTAAGAATTATAGTATATATTGTTTAAAGGTGGGTAGGTTTTTAAAAGGAGCTGGCTGCATCGGGATTTATAAGTAAGGTGTGCGGACATATCGTGACTGACATATCGGGATTGATGTGACAAAAATGATTTCATGCGTGTTTTCGTTTGTTCTAAAACATAAAAACACTATTCCTCGATAGGACTATCCAAGACCCAGTGGCCGTGGGTCCCGAAATCAGTAGGGTAACTGTTCGTACATTGAAATATCCCGATATGTCCGTCCCGATATGTCCACGTGCCATAAATAAAGCTAGACCAATTGCAACCCTACTCAGGTTTGTAAGAGTTCAACCTGGACTACAGGCATCGAAACTGAGTCTCCCGTTAAAGTGTAAGTTGAGCGTAATTTATAAAAATGGACATTACAAATTTTAAATTAAATTATAAATAGGCAATTATTTTAAAAAAATTTAAAAAAATTTTCAAAAATTTTAAAAAAGAATTCAGTTTAAAAAATTCATCATTAAAACAAAGCTAATTTAGGAAATGGACGAACAAAAAATAATTGTAAAACTTTTTAAACTTTTTTTTATTATTTTTTACTTCAATATGGAAGAGTGTTAAGCATACTTAAATGAATGGGCAAAGGAACTTAAGTTTAGTAGTTTTGAGAGTTTGGGAAGGGAGGGGGAGAGAATTTGTCTATTAAACTTAATGGACAGAATTGTTTTGGGAATAAAATCAAAATGAGGACCTAAAAAAGAATGGGAAGAATTTAAAATTAAATAATTAAATTTTAGGCGTTCGAAAAATAAAAATACACTCTTTTTTTGTTTTTTGGGGGGTATTAATTAAATATTTTAGGAAAAAATTTTGAAAAACAAAATAAATAAAACAGATGAATATTATGTGGAATTTTAATTGTAAAATTAGTCTACGGTATCTATAAAATTTGATAACAAAATTATTAAAATGTTGATTATTTTTAAGGGATAACTTATTTGTTTGACTTACAAAATTCATTTGACTGATTTCTTAAACTGGAAATTAGTTTATTATATATATTTTATACTGACCAGGGATGGGACGGATTAACCTTTGACCCGATACCCGAAACCGATCCGAAGAAAATTTTTAGAACCCAATCCGAAATCCGACTCGACGTTTAACTCAACCCGTCCCATTCCTGCTACTGACCTGTATTTACTACTACCATTTTTTACTTTATCTTAGTTGCAATAATAATTTGTTAATATTATTGCAAATAATAATTTGTTGAATTTTAATAAATATTTAACAAGCTCAGGGCTCACTTTTTTACCCTATTATTTCAAAATTGAATTTTTTGTTGAAGATTTTCCGTAGAAAAACTATTTTTAGAAATAATTTCGTCATGCACTCTTTTCTCTTATAAATAAAAAAAATTTTTTTTTGATTATATATATAATGTAATTAAATTTTATAGTTTGTAATTAATATCAGACCTTATTATGTATTTATTTATTCAAATATATACATAAGATCATTTTTCAAAAGATTTTTCCCTTTGTGAATTACATCTGTCGGCATGTAATTTTGAGTTGTGATTTATTTTTAAAATTATTTCATTTAAAAAATTCTTTAAAAAAAATCTTTTTTAGCCATTAAATTAAAAATATATTTTTTATTTTAAATTATTTACAGCTTCATAAATTGTAAATTAAAATAATAAATTTTATGTTTTTTAATTGAAGTTGTTGTTAACGTCCAAAAAACTTGGCTTTTACACGAACAAATGGCTCTATCTAGTTTACAACATGTATTCGTTGTAAATATATTTCCCATAATCACCTTTCCACAATAATCATCGTTATCCCTTAAATTTATTTCAAAATTACAATATGAAAATTTTAATTTTGATTATGATTATCTTCTGTTAAGCTCTCAAGAATTCCGCGTTCCGTCTGCCGCTATTTAGAGGTGATATGTCCTACGCCTTCCGTCTAGCGCATTTAAAATGCGGCAAGGCCCATTCCTATTACGAAATTATTTAAACTACTAGGGGGCAAATTATTTTTAGCTCTTTTAAATTATTTTTTTACCATCCTGAAACGGAAGAAAAATAAAATAGCGTCGCAAAAAATTTTAAATATTTTTTTATTAAAAAATATATTTATTAATTTAGAAAATGTATTATTTAAAATTAATTTTTTACATTTTCTTTTTGTTAATTTTCATCAACATTTCTGTCGGAAAGAAGTGCAAATGTTTAAATAATAAAAATGAGAAATTATTTAAACGTCGGCATAAAAGAGCAGATAATTATTGTGAATGTTCTGATGGAGGAGGGAATTTGGAAAAAAATCAAGGGGCAACTGTATTAGAAAAGCAAGGACATTTTGAAAAAGGAGGGGAAAATGTTCCAGAAAGTTCTTCAAGAACTTCGAAGAAAAGGGCTTTGTATATTTTTGATAACTTTTACTACTCCCATGTTCAATTACATGTAAATATTTTAAAATTATTTAAAACAAATTTCGATATGATTGACTTGTAGTCAACTGCCGCTCAGTCTGACTCAAAGCTTACGAGATATTTCTTCTACCCTAGAATATACACCATAATCTTCTTGCCATAGCTTTTTACTATTTTCTTATCTCTATGATAGACTATGTTATGTTCGAGAGTTGTCAGATGTTGACTTGCACAAGAATAACAGTTTACCCAATGTAAAAATGTACAATGTGTGAGGGTGGACTGGGCAGGAACAAACGAAGGAGATCAGTGACCGCGCTAGTATGGTCCAACTAGATGACGCTTTCACTGGCTCTTATACTACCGTGACACCGCTACACAACAGACTGGCATACTCTTGTAGTGATAAATGAAACCTCTACCGTGTTTCTTTTATTATAAGCCTACAAAAGCCTATATATAGCTTTAACAGATAAATTAGTTTCTTTAATTATTAAAATTTCCAACAAATTTTAACCCAATTTTTAACTCTAGTAATAATTACTAATAATTAAAAATTCCAGTTAATGCTTGCTAAGGTTTTATCTGAACATTACATTGTGGTAGGTTATTTATATAAAAGGGTTTTGATGAGATTGTCAAGATACCTAGATATTAATAACCCACTCAGATTCTAGGTTATGTATTTTTATATCTGTAGATATTGTAATCCAAGGTCAACATAAATAATAGCCTATTCCATAAAGAGTTCATGTCCCTGTATGTTTGGAAATAATGTCCCAGGAATTCTCATTTCCTCAAAAAATGATCCAACTCTCAAGGGCGAGTGGATTGAACCGAAAGCTCTTTAATTGGCGAGCTCGGATAATGCATTAGGGCGGCATTGCGGGCATACCAAACAAGCAAAGAATAAACAATAAAAAATTTATGCCATAAAAAATTTATGCCATTTATGCCAAAAATTTATGCCAAATTTATGCGGTCAGAAATGTGCCTAGCACAGAAAGGGTGTGGCTAACGGTGTCCGGAAAATTGGGCTCTGGAAAATTGGGCTCCAAGATTTTTCGGAAAATTGGGCTCCAACTTTTCGGAAAATTGGGCTCCAGCGGAAATTTGGGCTCTACGTGAAAAAAACGGAAAATTGGGCTCCAATTTTTTAGGCGCGGGGTATTGTGGGCGTCAAGTGAATTTTTAGATTTATTCGAAAAATAACACAAAATTCTTTGAATGTGCTGATACATAGTTTGTAGGTCGGCATTTCAAAGCTGAAAATCAGTAAAAAGGAATAGGTTTATGTTACTGTTGTAGAACCCAGCGACCGTTGACTCCCGCGAGGCGCGTGCCGCAAAATCCCGCGCGAAGCGCGGGATTTTGCACAAGCGCCTTGCCGACGCCCATAGGTTTACGTTGTTTGATTTTGTGTTATTTTTCGAATAAATCTAAAAATTCACTTGACGCCCACAATACCCCGCGCCTAAAAAAATTGGAGCCCAATTTTCCGTTTTTTCACGTAGAGCCCAAATTTCCGCTGGAGCCCAATTTTCCGAAAAATCTTGGAG